CTTGTGACAATAAATTTGAAACTCGGTTGTGAAATGCTTTGATACGTGAGTCTACCTCATATTGACTGTCGTTTGTTGTGATCTGAAAGGTACCTGCGCAAGACGCACAACTTCTCGTTATTGCTGCTCATTCCCCTTCATCTACAAAGGACGTCGCTACCACAGATGTACGAGGAGAAACCATAAACGACCATGGTGTGCTACAACACCCAACTATGATCGTGATAAGAAATGGGGCAACTGTGCAGGTTTGTTAACTTGTGTGACTCAATAACAATTTGGTTGGCAATTTGTCGATATTTTGATTTTTTTCCGATAGTGTCCACCTGCCCAGTGTGTGTTAGCTTTCTATTTTTGTCAATCGTTTCACCTCGTTTTTGTTTTCATTCTTTATTAGGACGCCGCCCAGTCAAACCAGTAAAACCTGTTATCCGTCCTCCCAAAGGTGAGAGCAAACTAGGGAGATACAACTGTTCTACTTTCTTACCTTGACAGCCTTTTTTTGAGCTGAGAAGGTTTTTTCGTAGCTTACTTTTTGTGATTTAACTTGCTAATTTGTTTTGTATTTTTTGCTCATTTTTCTCAGATTTATTTAAAGTTCATTTTCTCAAATTGTGTGTATCAAATTGTTTTTCATCTTTCTGCAGCTAAGGTCATCCAAGTCACTGTTGGTTTGAAGGGTAAGGAAGTTTATCGCTAACTCGTAATATAACATCAGTATAAAACTAGTCCCCCCTTATCTAATAATACAACTAGAAGGGTTTCAACAAAGAGCAATACGCGTTAAGATAATTATTTACAAGTTATGAACCCTCTGTTATCACTCCGCAACCTTCGAAAAAACCATGTTTGAAGCGTTTAAAGTAAAGTTCACTCATTATTTTATCGTTCGAAAGTGGCTAACAATGTTAACAATGGCATAATTAGTAAGAAATCTTCACTGTGTACCTATTACCACGCTACGGGAATGCTAACTTATGGTAGCGTGCTGCAAGAGCCTGGGCAATAGGTGTCAGGCATTGAACTGGTCAAAAGACAAATCAAATCGGGCTGTTTCAAGCGAAAGTTGCTAACCATCATGCTTCTGACGCGCACCCCCGCAAAGGAATTTTAAGTTGTTAATTTATTTGTCAATCTTCGGCCAACTATAAATGTCCTGCATGTAATACATTTTCCCCTTGCAGCCTATGGCATCGGTTGCTATAGAGACACAAGCCGACGAGCCATACCAACCTTGGAACGCCGAAGTCGACTACTGAAGGGTAATTACCGGAGAAGAGCAGGCGCTATAAGAAATTGCGCTTTGGCTGCGGCTCGAAGAGGTTATAAAGTTTTTGCTATTCAACATGGAGGGTGGTGTGCGTCTGCAAGATACGCCTATCGAACGTACAGGAAATATGGAAAATCTAATCGATGCAGAAATGGCAAGGGAGGACCTTGGGCGAATGACGTTTATGTCCTTAGAGGTGAGGAAAAAAGCTGTTTGTATGTCTAATAGGGGCCATTATCATGTTCGTCGTTTCGTACTGAAGGTGAAGCCAGAATGTTCAAGTGTATTATCATCCGAAGCTACTACGTTGGGGCTCGATCAAGATTGAACATTCTAGTTTTAATTTAACATAAAGTTTAATGCGTTCATACGGTCTGCCTTAAGTTTATCATGTAAGACGGCATTTTGTTAAAAAAAGGAAAGGACTACTTTAAAAGCAATAAGTTTTCCTGTATCCATGTGGAATTAAGCCTCAGATCTTTGGATTCTGCGCCATAAGAGAGATGTTGAATTTTTTGACTTGGTAATAAAATGAAGAAACTTTGCAATTTAAATTTATGTGCCTTTGTATACTTTAAACTCAAGTTGTATTCTTTTTTCATTGCTAGGTTCATGTCGTGTAAAATCAACAAATGGATACTGCTGCTCGTTCCCGTTCGTGTATCGAGGCAGACGATACACTGGATGTACAAGAACGAACTCCAGGCGACCTTGGTGCTCCCTCACTGGAAACTACGACAAGGATAAGCAATATGGATGGTGTCCCACCCGAGGAGGTGAGACTGGAAACGAGGAAGAAAGTTAATTTTATACATTTTTCATGGATGGTTATCTTTTGTATACATTTTTTTCACCTTTGTGTGTAAAGTTTGCCAAAGTAAGCTGAAAGAGTAAACTGAACTAATTTTACATGCCATGTCCCGTGATTGATTGGATGTTTCTTTAATTTTTCGCCAGCACGTCCTGTCAAGATAACATCATCGATATCAAGTGAGTATGGCGGCTGAAAATAATAAAAGAAAAAAAGACCCACGAAAAAATATTAAATTAGTCAACTTAAATTCGTAAAGAGAAATTCCGTGGACGTTTTGTATTGTTTCATTTTTCCCTTTTGTATACCATGCTAACTATTTTTTTCCTACCTTGATGCAAATGATACTTCTAGGCCTAAAGAGTATAATTCATTTGTCTAAATTTTCTAAACGCGGAGTCATTTGAAGATTCAGACATGGAGTTTTAGTTTCGCCTTCCATCAAGCAGAACGCCTTTACTGTAATAGATCTGTAGTATTAGCTGTGATGAATGCACCGGTTGGTTTTATTGGGCAAAATAAAATTTTTCGCCTTCTCTTCAAGGGAGAATATTGATCAAGTTCATTAACTGGTCGGGTGGAGTTAAAAAACAAAGGCATTACAAGTTATTGTTTATGCTATTGTTTCGTTGTACAGAGTCGTTTAAAAATTCAGTCTTTAAGTTTTGGTTTCACCCTTTTATGTACGCGTAAGCCTGTAAGCCTGTAAGCCTGTAAGCCCTTGCCTCGTTACAAGTAAAGAATCATGAGTTGGCGTCCATTTGGGAGTGATTTAGTTTGGTCTACCGTTGTCTATAGATCAACTTCTTTTTCCTGTTACTTCTCAGTCCAAAGAATAGGCTGCTTCAAAGATTCCCCTCGCAGAGCCATTCCAATACTAGAAGGCAAAAGTAAACTTCTACAAGGCAACTACAAACGAAGGAAGATTGCCATTCGTAAATGCGCCATGGTCGCCGTAAATCGCGGTTACAACACTTTCTCTGTGCAAGACGGTGGTCAGTGTTTCTCAGGACCGCGGGCTCAGTACACTTTTGCTAAGTATGGGCGATCGAACAGATGTAGGGGTGGAAAAGGAGGACCTTGGGCCAATGATGTCTACAGGCTGACAGGTGCTGAGCCCACTTTGTTCATTTATTGTTCGTTTTTGTCTGTTCTTCTGTTAAAACAGGGTTCGAATGGGTCCAGGAAAACCTGGAAAGTCCTGGAATTTTATTTTGCAATTTTCCAGGATTGGGAAGTCTTGAAAAAAGACTACTGGTCCTAGAAAGATTTCAAAATTTACATCATAAGAAATGTATTAGACCGTAAAGAGAATTAATTTTAGGGATGAAAATTTAAAGTGAAATTTGAAATCCTGGAAAAATTCTGCTAAAGTCCTTGAAATTTGTTTCAGAAAGAGGGTATGAACCCCAAATAACCTCAACCAAATGTAGTGTTGCTTCTCTAGTTAGGATTACATGAGAAGCTGCTCACTACACAACTTTATTTTCGATTTAATTTTTTTCCAATAAAACACAACCTAACACAAAGCGCTTTTGAGTGTCATCAACCTAAATCCAAAGTAATCACTTAGGCCAATTAGAACTTAGGTACACAACGCAAGAAGCCAATGTGGGTTCAGCTCTCCATCTGACTGCTTTAGTGAGTGATACGAATTCTCAGGAACAGTCAGTAAGCGCAGTTAATCAAATTTAATGCAGTTATGGTTTACTGTCGATGCTAAACTTTCAAGGAAAAGATGCGCTAGCCAAAGGCAATGTTACTTAAAGTTGAGTCCGACAAGCGTGAACAACATACCATAATCACGTAGATAATGATCCTGAGATAAGCTACATAATGTTGTATTAAGGAAAAAGTAATGTTTTCCTGTGTGGTGGTTAAACAAACTAGGAATGAGGTAACTGTGATACATAAGGAAAAATCAAATTATTTTACTACGAATGAGGTAGCTGTGAGATATAAGGAAAAATAAAATGATTTTATCTTGTGGGTTTAGTGCAGTGTATTCGACGCAAATAACCCCATATCTGTAATTTTTTAACATAGCTTATCTTCTTCCTGAGTTTAGGTAGATGTCAACGTCGCACCACGTCAGGAAAATGCTGTGTACTTCCTTTCGTTTATCGTGGACGCCGCTACACCAACTGCGCCAGGTCAAAACGTGGAAGGCCTTGGTGTCCAACGGCATCTAGTGTATACAAACGAAACCAACCATGGGGCTACTGCCGCGGTGGAAAACGTAAGTATCAGTTGTCTACCGAAGTAGCCTACCTCTCTTCCTCTTTCCCTCTTTCTCTTTATCCCGTTTTCTTTTTTTTTTCCATTTTCTTTTTTCCCTTTCGCTTTTTTAAGGTGCGTCTTCTTACGTTTGTTTTCTGTCGAATGACGGTCCACTTCTCTTTCTCAGGTCAGCCAATACGAGTGACTGTAGGGGTGCGAGGTACGGTTTCCACTTAATTTTACTTCAAGAATACTAAATTTTAAAATGGAACGACACTTTGAAATGCATTTAATGTCAGATGCCTTTACGTGGAAAAAAAAAGCTCGAGTTTCGCTTCCAACATGTGGCTTCGTAGCTCAGTGGGCAGTAGCGTCTAAATAGTTTCTGAAAGCCTCGGTCACATGTAAGGATCATTTCATTATATGCACCATAAGATATTCATCGTAGAACAATAGGCAGAAGCTTCACCCATTGACGTAACAAATTTTCATTAAATGAACAAAGTTCTCTCCCGAGGATTGCAATGGTATCAAGAGTTTTTTAAAAGTCCAGTTTGCTTGATAATATGCTGATTCAAACCTTATTTTAACAGTCAAGCCAATCGGATGCTTCAAAGACACTGGTCGCCGTGCTATCCCAGGAGTGGACGGTCGTTACCCAATAGTGAAAGGATATTATCGAAAGAGAAAGGAAGCCATTAAGCGTTGTGCCCTTGTTGCTCTGAGGTTTGGTTACAGAGCTTTTGCTGTTCAACATCAGGGATGGTGCGCTACAGGTCCAAGAGCTCATGTGACTTACGGAAAGTATGGACGATCCAATCGGTGTAGGAATGGCAAGGGAGGACCTTGGGCTAATGACGTGTACAGAGTATACGGTGAGTTCTGGGTTACCACATCATCTCTTTGTGTGCATATACTTGAACATAGTTCGTAAGCGAGACAAGTAAGGAAAGCCGATACAAATTAACGGTACAAATAACGTAACTGCAGTTTCGATCGTAAACATCCTGCCTGTGCGTTGTCTTTCTCCACTGTGGATATATGTTCACCCTTTGACCCCCTAGAGTGACCAGAATCTAATTTCTCCTTACAATATCAACTCTGAATCAAAAATTAAGGTTACGAGAATAAAGGAAATGATCAGTAACTTAAATAGCTGTTGACTGTTAAACAAATTCTCCTTGTTAGCATCTTAGAAAATGTATGGAGAACAGTATGGAGAATATGCATATTGATGTTAGGGTGTTAAGACAGTGCCACGATGGAGGATATTTTTTGATTAAATTGACACAGATTCTTTTCTTATCAGGTTCATGTCGAAGAAGAACTACCTCACGCTACTGCTGTGCCTTCCCGTTTATCTACAAAGGACGTCGTTATAACAGTTGTATAAGAAGAAACCACAATCGACCATGGTGCGCTACGACACCCAATTATGATCGAGACAGACAGTGGGGCAATTGCGGTGGTAAGAGATTAGGGAATAATCGTGAGATTTTGACATTTTTATTCTTCTGCTAAACCAGTGTATTAAACCTGATGATTTGTCTTCTTGCAGGTCGCCGTAAACCTGTTAAACCTGTCAAACCTATTGTCCGTCCTCCTAGAGGTCAGTTGTGTAGTTTCATTGCAATAACGTTTTCACAGTATTCTTTCGTGATCTTTAAGGTGTTAATTTCTTGTGTCTTCTCACCATCCGAGAATATGCGTGGGACTCTCCCACGGTTGTACACCATTACCTCGTTAGAAGAGGGATGAGATCTGTTCTTACGCTCTCTCTTGGAAGTGTTTCGCTTGAAAAAGAACTCCATTTTCATGGGCTCCTCCAGCAGTGAAACTGGTTCGCTGACTTTGGTGAATCTTCGTGAATAAATTTCATGTCGCCTCTTTAAGTTCATAATTTGAGTAGAAACTGTCAGCATGGAAAAAATGGTTGTTTAGGAGTACCAGTTTCTTGGGAGAGGTGGTTACCTACGTCTTTTTGCTTTTATTCTGTCTTTTATAACTTAGGTGGATAATTTTATATGTTACATTTTTGTTCGATAGATCTTTTATATTGTTGTTTCCTTTTGCAGCCCGAGTAATAAAACTTACACCAGGAATCACTGGTAAGATTTTTTTCCCAAGTAATCTTTCTTTATTAGATTTTTATCAGGTGTAACCCAAACCGCGCTTTATACAAACGGTGGGCCTCAGTGATTCTCTATTAGAGGGTTAATTTTATTAAATAAATATCCCTCCACTATAACGTTTTTGCCTCTTGACACTGTTCACAAAAAAAATTATTTTATATAAAAGGTCCGGCTAAATTGAAGATGGCTTAGAACGCAGTTTTGTTGATGATCGCCTAACCTTTGTTTAAAAAACTGGCCCAGTGTGTTCGAATTTAGTAGTCTAGACAAGAGCACCTTAAATAGAGCTTTAATAGACAATATTAGCCAATCGTGTTTTTAAATTTAGCATACAGCATCGGTTGCTACAAAGACACCCGCCGACGAGCCATACGCCCCTTGGAAGGTCGAAGCCGCTTCCTAAAAGGAAATTACCGCAGAAGACGAGACGCTATTCGCAAATGTTTCCAGGCAGCTTATAGACGAGGCTACAAAGTGTTCGCCTTACAGCATCAAGGATGGTGCGCATCTTCAAGGATGGCTCACATAACATACCGTAAATACGGAAAATCTAACAGATGCAGGAATGGAAAGGGAGGACCCTGGGCTAACGATGTTTACGTTGTGAGGGGTAAGTAATTGAAACTTTTACTTATGTCAGCGAAGGTGGGAAAAAAAATGTTTTTTCGAGCAAGTGATTGCTTGTCAAGTATGCGCAAGGATGGGGTAAGCAAGTGTTATACTAACGTTCTTTGCCATATCTTGTATCGGCCGGTGGGACCGTCTTGTCGGGGGCAATTCTTAGAACTGACCGAACTAGTTCTGTCGGGACTAAGTCTCTGCTTTGAGTGAGGCTGGATATTTTTCACACTCGTGCTCAGACCAGAAAAGGGCGGGTCATGAAATGTGCGCTTTGCCAAATACAGAAATCACGAAATATGCAAGAGTTGAGAGTGCATAGCATTGCATTCGATAGTGCGAAATAACTACAATTCTTCTAAAATTAAACGCGCGGGAGAGCTGAATAGCTGAACGCCGTAAGTCGGAGGTCTATAGAATGGTAAATAAGCATTATTGTACTATTAACACTGTTGTTTAATTGCCTCGCTTTCTCTCAGGTTCCTGTCGCACAAGAACAACCCGCAAAAACTGCTGTGTGTTCCCGTTCGTGTACAAAGGTAGACGATACTCACGCTGCACCAGGGTCAATGCTGCTCGTCCATGGTGTGCAACTACTTCAAGTTATGATGCTGATAAAATGTGGGGCTATTGTGAAGGACATGGAGGTGAGTAAAAATTTTCGATGAGTTTATCTTAGAACTGATGTAGGATTGCTTTGAGGGCGAAGAGGGGATCTGAATCAAAAAAGATAATGATACTAAAGACGCTGTGGTACTGCATCGGTGGGAGAGTATAACAAAGTAATTTGGTATTATCGACTGAGTTGATAAGGTAAATTGGCCACCGTAAAGAGTTTCAAAGCTGATTTTTCGAGCGTTAGCCCTTTGTCAACTTTGAAACTCTCCACGGTGGCCAATTTACGACTCAAATTACCTTGTTTGGCATCATTATTACCCTGGGCCCAGTTGTATTAAGGGCGGATAGCGCTATCCAACAGATAAATTGCTATCCGGCGGATAAGTGATAACTAAACGTTTAGCGTTATCCACCAGACAGAGGTTTATCTGGTGGATAGTGTTATCCAACCTTGTTATCCAACAACCGGAGCCTGGATTTAGTTCTTGATTGCATCCTCCAGGGTTTGCATTGTTTCTTATCATAGTGAGGTTCACTTGCTTGTTTTCCGTATCTATCCTACATCTGAATTTGTTATTAACTTGGTTTTATTTCTTTCCAGTCTCTTTCATCAGAGTAACACCTTCAATTAATAGTAAGTATTTAAATTCCCGTCAGGAATTCATATTATCCAGGATTTCTATAAGTTTGCAAACAATTTAGTGGTAACTACTTACAGTTAGTGTGCAAGACATAGGTCATATTAGAACGTATACTACAGCCTAGATATCCAAGCTCAGCTAAAAGCATCGGTCCACGAAATCCGAGTGTTTCGGGTTTGATTCCTCGCGCGGGAATTACGTTTTTGTTTTTGTTGTTAACGCTCGTGACAAATTAATCTCTCTTCATTTGACCACCGAGCCGTCTCAAAAATATACCATCCTCATTCGTTAACCAGTTTTGAATCATGTTCCCTTGGATTTTTCTTTCAGTCCGAAGAGTCGGCTGCTTCAGGGACACATCGCGCCGAGCAATTCCTCAAATGGATGGCCGAAGTGTGCTGTTAAGAGGCAACTACCAACGCCGTCCATTAGCCATTCGCAAATGCGCGCTTGTTGCTGCAGCACGTGGATACAAATGGTTCGGAATCCAGCATGGCGGCTGGTGTGCTACAGGACCGCATGCTGGGAGGACGTATGCCAAGTATGGCCGATCAAACAGATGTAGAAATGGCAAAGGTGGACCTTGGGCTAATGATGTCTATAGAATAGCAGGTGGGTGATGTACTTTGAAAGCAACTAACAAGTGCGTCATACATTGAATATCGAAGCGTCCCCTGTTTAATTTCTCCACCATATCGTAAGACTCTTTTTTTCGGGTACTAGGCCCTCTACCGAAGCATAAGTTTTATACAACGTCTAGTTATTAAATTTTTCTTGTTTTCTGATCAAGATTATGGTTTTTCTTTTTTCGCCACAGGAACTTGCAAGTATCGCACTACAAAAGGAAACTGCTGTTCATTTCCGTTCGTGTATCGAGGGCGTCGATACAAACGTCCTGCCAGGGCTCGAAATGGCAGGAGATGGTGCGCAATCACTCCAGACTACAGAACAAACAAACTATGGGGGTACTGCAGGGGAGGAAGAAAATGTAAGGCGCTTACTTTCTGCTGTTATTTGAACACTTTAACTCTCAAGATGCGATTATATTACTGATCGTCTCTTATTTGTCCTTTCCTCTACAGCTCCACCCATCAGAATCACTCCTGGAGTTTTTGGTAAGTTTGAATCTATTACCTACTTGTTGTTAATTTTTAAGTTATTAAATTTATGTCTTGTACATCTGGGGATAGTTTTAGTGATTATGTGTTGGTCTGTTAATTCTCGTGGAATTTGTAAAGAAGACGAAATTTTAAGAGTACATCTAGACGTCTTTAATCCTTTGACCACTAAAAGTGACTAGCATCTAATTTCTCCTTACAACATCACCCTGCAATCACACATTAATGTCATGAGAATAAAGGAAATGATCACCAACCAAAGAATCTCTTGATTCTCAAACAAATTCTCCTTTGAACTTACTAGGAAAAGTACGGAGAACAGTATGGAAAATACGCGTAATGAGGTTAAGGTGTAAAAGGTTAAGATTTATGCGAGTTTAATGGTTGCTTTTCTTTATAGTCAAGTCACTTGGATGCTTCAAGGACACAGGTCGGCGAGCTATCCCAGGAGTAGACGGTCGTTACCCAATAGTGAGGGGATATTACCGTAGAAGAGCGGACGCCTTGAAGAAATGTGCTGCAGTTGCTATGAGGTTTGGTTACAGAGCTTTTGCTGTTCAACATCAGGGATGGTGCGCTACAGGTCCAAGAGCTCATGTGACTTACGGAAAGTATGGACGATCCAATCGATGTAGGAATGGCAAGGGAGGACCTTGGGCTAATGACGTGTATCGGGTGTTCGGTAAGTTGTTGGTGTAAGTTGCTCGCTCGTGTAAGGGCAGTCCTGAAAAAAGACAACCAACTCTTATCGATGAAATTTACCTGTATCTCAAAGCGGAAGTCTTTATAAAAGTCAAGTGGGCAGTATTTCGCTCCCTAAATACAAACGCTCATCGTGAATAAAAATATTGGAAGGGGAAAAGAATCTCATGTTTGTAATGATGATTGTTTTTTCAGCCAACAATTTACTGAGTCTAGTGATTCTGCATTTTTTTAAATCGCAGGCCATTGCCGGAAGCGAACGACATCTCGCTACTGTTGTGTGTTCCCGTTCATCTACAAAGGCCGTCGTTACCACAGATGTACAAGAAAGAACCACAATCGACCATGGTGTGCTATTACAGGCCATTACGATCGGGATAGGAAATGGGGCAACTGTGCTGGTGAGTTTAATTGTTACTAAGAACGGAATACTATTTACTCTTGAACTGAATCTTGCGCAATAAAACCACTTTAGCTCTGTTCAAACATCCTTCTCTCTGTGGTTTTTAAGCTGGTTTAAAATTTGCGATATTTTTATTGGCTCCCACGTAAGAGGGCAATCATATGGAACTTTAGAAAATAAAATTTCTTCAGGTAAATGTTTGGTATTAAAAGATAAGGTCAGACGGTTTCATAGTAAATAAATATAAGTATGTCATTTTTTTCGTTTTTAGGTCGCCGACCGGTCAAACCTGTTCGCCCAGTTCGTCCAACGGGTGAGAACTTTATTTATTTTGAAAATAAGTTGCTGAACTCGAAATTCATTCCATAAATTAATTCTGTAATCGTTTTTAAATATTTATTTCTTTAATATCTTTGTATTACAGGAAAAACTGTAAGAGTAACAGTTAACTTAGTTGGTGAGTAACGTTCGAACGTTTTTGAATTATTCAATTATGTATTTCTCGCCTTAATCTTTTACAGAAATCTTGTTAGAAGTAAATTTTTTTTGCTGAGTTAGGAGTTGTTAGTTCTTCTATGAGACGGCAGGAAAATATTTTTTTTGTAAATGTTTAGTTTGAAAAGTTTGCTTTTGTTGTTCTCTACCTGATGCAACTTTTTCCCACTTAGCTAAGGGTATCGGCTGTTACAGAGACACTGGCCGACGGGCCATACCAACCTTGGAGCGCAGAAGTCGCCTTCTTAGAGGAAATTACCGCAGAAGACGATACGCTATCAAGAAATGTGCTCTCGCGGCTTATGCAAAGGGACACAGAGTATTCGCTGTGCAACATGGAGGATGGTGTGCGTCTGGAAGGAGAGCTCATCTCACCTATGGGAGATACGGAAGATCTAACAGATGTAGGAATGGAAAGGGAGGACCTTGGGCCAATGATGTCTATGTACTCAGAGGTATCCGTTTTACTTATGTCTCTCCTGTAGATTTTTCTGGTTTTTTCCATTTCTTATGGCTGTCTTATTTATTATTTATTAGTTTGAAAATGTAAATGATATTCCTCTCAATCGTTTCACACTTAACCTCAAGGCTTTGGGCATTTCGGAAATGGCCTTTTTGTAGCTCTTATAGCTTTGTAATTTAATTTTTTTCTTCCTTCTGATAGGTTCATGCCGTGTACGCTCATCTACTGGAAACTGCTGTGTGTTCCCATTCGTTTACAAGGGCAGACGGTACAACCGCTGTACCAGAGTCAACTCCAAACGAGCGTGGTGCGCCAGTACGCCAAATTACGATCACGATAAGCTGTTTGGATACTGCGGAGGAAGAAAACGTAAGGAATTAGTAAAGGATATCTTTTTTTACCTTAGATATGATATAAATGAACATTGAACGATTTGTCTCATGATACAAAGTCACTATCAATTGTAAACCACGAAGTTTCAACTGCTATTCCGATAGCCTCCCAGGACCCCTTAACTCATTATAGTCTATTCTATGGCCAATTGTAGACCCATATTGGTCACTTTTGATAATAGGGTAACAACTTTTTAATCGCAAGTCTTCCAAATTTTTAAACCCTTAGTTAACAGAATTTTCTTACCCCAAAAAATCCAGAAAATGAGCGACCTCATTCTAGCTCATCAATTGAAAATACAACCAGTTATAGTCAATCCAGTTTTGAAAATTGGACCTCATCCGAAGGCACATTCCTACTAGCCTTTACGAAGAAGTCCCCTTTCCC